CATTCCTTTATATATATATATATATATATATATATATGTATATATAGGTTTTAGTGATGCTTAAGAAGCATTGGCTAATTAAGGAGGAAAGTAAAAAGTAAAGTTGGAGGAGCTTTCGTTTGACTGCATATATGTTTTTTGCTTAATTCATTCCGGCCACCAACCCATAGTGATTATTGGATGACGCCATCAAGCTGAAACACTTGGGTTGGGTGAGTCATGTTCATGCATGCCTTAGACTTAGACTACAATACAACCAACCAACAATAAAAAGAGGAAAATTTGCTTTGTTAGACCTCTCCTTCCTTCAATCTTCTTACTAGTTGTAAGACTAAGATGCGATCCCACGTGTATGTATCAAAAGAAAAGTAAACTACCATACTCAAGTCTGAGTGTGAGCCCAAGGAAAGAAATCGGAAAGCCAAGCCAGGAACAAAACCTTCAAATTTTGTCACCTTCATACTCATTCTTCTAAATTGACGACTTTTGTATTCGGACCCACCTCCATTTTTATTTTTTTTTATAATTAAAATTTAAAATTATTATTTTTCAGTTCTTATAGATAAATAATATTTATTTTAATGATCTATAAAAAAATTTAAAAATACCATATACTAACATAATATTACTAACAATTATGAATAATATCTTACATAATCTCTTAATCTTTTAATTAACAAATTAGTATTTAAAATTAATTACATAATAACAAAGATAAAAAAAAAATATAACTCCAGTCGTGTTAAATCTTGGGGCAATCTGAGGAGATTAGTCACTGCTGTCGGCGGTAAATACTCCAGGAAGGAAAAAAAAAAAATTAGTTTTAAAATTTAGAGATGTTAGAATAACAATTCAGATTCGTAAGATATTATATTCGGATACAAATTAAATTATTTATCTTTTAGGATGTTGTTTAAAATTAAAATATTTGTATTTATTCTTTAGATTTGTTTTTTTTTTTTAAGAATAAAATGAATAAGACTTTTAAATTTATCGATGATTTTTTAAAAGTAAATTGTCAATGAATTGAACACGTGTTTGATGTTCATGGAATTTTTTTCTTCTCTTCTTTTTTTCACTGTTTAAGATCTTTTGTTACCTTTTCTTGCTTTTAGATCGCGTGAAGCACACGGGACTGTTCTCCACTTTTGCTATGTTTCTTTTATCAAATTTCTTAAAGTAAATTAATGATCTATTTCAGTGTAAAATGAAAAAAGGTAAATTCATATATTATTTACTTTGATTGAAAATGGAAACAAAATATAACAAAAAAAAAACAAGGAAAGTAAACTTTCTCACTTATTGAGTTAAAATAAAAAATAAATAAATTATAGGTATAATTAATATTAATATGAGTAGAGGTAGAGCCAATCTACTATTCTCACTTATTGAGTTAAAATAAAAAATAAATAAATTATAGGTATAATTAATATTAATATGAGTAGAGGTAGAGCCAATCTACTATTAAAAATAACTCTCGATACAAATGCTATCTTCAATTATTCTTGGTATGGGTGTCAAATTTTTTTTTATTCTTTGTATAAATTAAATTTTATTTATCTAACCGTTAAATATATTTACATTAACTCAACGATTATGCATACTAAATTTTAGACAAAAAAAATATTTGCAGTTATGTATTTTTATAGTTAATATTTACTTCTAATTTTAAAAGATATCAATCATTAAATTGAATTTATTTAATATTAAATATGTATATATGATCAACTTAATAATAATTTAAATTCAGTAGTTAAATTAATAAAATTGAATTTATAAAAAAAAAAAGCTATTGAAATGAAAAGAGTAGATTTATCAAAGTAATTTTAAATTATTTTTATCAATAAAATAAATTAAAATTTATATAAAATATTATATAAACATATTCATTTATGTCATTTTATATCTTTATATTTAGCTGTTATTTCAACAAAAAAATTTGCTGAATACTTATAATTTAATAAATACTTATTAAGTTAATTTAATTTAATAAGTTAACTATTTATAAAAAGCTAGATTATAATTTTACTAAATACTTACTAAACATATATACTTCAATAATTTAATTTAACATCTTTCAGCTTCTCACTATCGTTTCAATTATTAGCTAGCTTTTTGGATTTTGGTTAGCTTTTTAACTAGTTTTATTAAACATAGTCTCGAAGAGTAATGTACTCGTACTTCTTCACTCTCCTAATTTTATATATATTGTAAATGTGCACTTCATACATTATTTTTGTAATTTTTTTCAACCATATAAAATTACTATCTTTATATTTTATCTGTAAATTTGATCGTTTACTCATATATTTTTTATTTATTTTATTTTAACTTCTATATATTAAATATAAGCGACTATATTGTACAAGAGTATTTTTAGAAATTTTTCTTTAACAAAAGAACTTTTAAGAATTTTTAAATTTTTTATTTAATTTAATTTTTATTTATCATAATTATTTATAAATTAAATTTTAATATTTTAACATAAATTATCAATAAATTTTTTTTTACTACAAATCTCAAAACCGGTATTAATATTTTATAGGCCTTGGATAAAACTCTAAATTAGAGTCCCTTACATATGTTTTATAAGAAAAATAGATATGTAATTTTATTAAAAAAATTATATATCTTATTATATTAAGTGAATAATATAGTTTCAGGGAGAGATGATATCAATATGTTGAAAGAAAGGGGTCTAAAAAATTAGAAAGAAAAAACTTCACAACTTCGAAGATTATAATCACACAAATAAATCTTACTTATATATAATAAATATTTAATTTATGTATTGCATATATTAAAATATTACTATACAATTTTTATAAAAAAAATATTCAATATCTAAAACAAACTTAAAGTCCAATAAAGATAACATAACTTATTAAATTCATTTGATTCTAGTTATAATTTGAAATCGAATTCAATTTTTTTATATTACACTAAAGGTAAGATAAATGTTTCATCTCGCCCTAATTTAAATTTCTTATAAAAAAAATTATATATTAAAAGTACTTATTTATTATAAATCTTAATTATCTGAAAATAAATACTTATCTCATGAAATACAAAAGATAAAAATATTAGTTATTAATATAAAACAATTTGATTATTTCTTCCAAGACTGAAGTGTCATATAGACGAGGAACTAATTTACTAAATAATTGTGTGTTTTTAAAGATAAAAATCAAATGGTGTTAACAAAAGGATAAAAATAAGAATATCTTTAATACTGTAATTATTTTGAAATATAAAACGAAGAGGCGTGGGGTAAACGAAAAGGCAAAAGACGGAGGCATTGGAAAATTAAAAGAAGCAGTAGTAGTTTTGTACGCAATGGAACCTCGTGGTCGCGGCCGTCGCTCTCCGTCCACTCCCCCGGTAATTCATTTTTATTTCTTTGTTGAGTGAATTAGGTTTGTTTTTTAATTTGATTTTGTGGTGATATGATGAATGTAGGGTGTTGTGGGATATGACCAATCAGGGTTTGATATATGCCACCCTAAGCAACCTGGAACCATAGTTTTGAAACCTCCTTTGCTCGTAAAGAACAGAGAAAAGAGACGTTCTAGTTGTAGCAGTGCGAAAGCGTTGTCATTAAGGGCGGGGATGGTCCTTCTGAAGGGTTACCTTGCCCTAAGCGATCAGGAGAAGATAGTGGAAAGATGCAGAGAGTTGGGAGTGGGAGATGGAGGATTCTACCAGCCAGGTTATGGGGAAGGGAGTAAAATGCATTTGAAGATGATGTGCCTCGGAAAGAACTGGGACCCTGACACAAGTCAATACGGTGACCAACGCCCCTTTGACGGAGCAAAGCCACCGGAGATTCCTCCCGAGTTCCATAACTATGTTCGCAACGCACTCCGGGATTCCAATGCATTCTTTCCTGATAATTCCCTTCCCTCCATCTCACCCGACATTTGCATTGTCAATTTTTACTCTCAAAGCGGCCGTCTTGGTCTTCATCAAGACAAGGATGAGAGTGAAGATAGTCTTGGCCGAGGCTTGCCCGTCGTTTCCTTCTCCATTGGAGACTCTGCAGACTTCTTGTACGGTGACCACAGGGATGTCGACAAGGCGCATAAGTTGCAACTGCAATCCGGAGATGTTTTGATCTTTGGTGGCCCCTCTAGACATGTATTCCATGGCGTAACCGCTATTCATCCATCCACTGCCCCCACCCTCTTGCTCCAACACACTAATCTTCGCCCTGGTCGCTTGAATCTTACCTTTAGACAGTACTAAATTCATATTCATATGCCTTTTCTCTTCTCGCTTATCTATGCTATTGCTACCTGTTTTGTAAATTAAGGTTTGCGTTTCTAATGCTATCTCATTACTTTCTGTAACAAATAACTTCTTACAATTCTGTCTTCTCTTATTACTGCAATTCTGCCACTATGTTTGGTTTCATCAGTTTGTCAAACACAACCGCGCTTGTATTTTTCTATGGATATCGCTTATAACTTAAGAAAATCATAAGCTGCTTTACTTTATTTTGATCTACAAGCGAAGTTGAAATTTAACATCAAGTCAGTTCCTTTATTTACTGTATTTTATGGGTACAAATAACATCATAGATCACATTGCACTATAGGAACAGAGCAGTCCAACCTACAATTATCAATGTTTGGCTCAACCACATTTAACTAAATAAATAGCATTAGAGTTATGTTGTGAAATAGTTTCTTGGTCTAGAATCAAGCTCGGTTCTCCAAAGCTAATGCAGCAGAATCAACATGTACAAGCAAACAAGAGTATACTTTTTGCTTCAATCTGTCAACAGTCTCCACCAGCCCTTCACTCTCTGTGTTGGAATAGCATCTTAGTTTGTCCAGCCAATCGTTTGCATGCTTAAGATGTGACAACGTGAGAGCTATATGGTTGGCTTGCTCCATTTGTCTCCCTGCAATATCCTTGCCCTTCTCTTGGGAAGCAACGGAAAACCCAGCATCTAATGTCTTTTCCAAGTACATCAGAAACCATGATCTTGTTTCATTTAAAAACACCTCTCTCAGCTCATTGATCTCTTTCATGCCATCCCCTTTGGCCCATTCTTGCTTCTCAGTCCCTGATAGTTCGGTCAAGGATTTTGGAGACTTTGACGTGCTTTTAACAGGCGTTAAACCTGCTGTCTTGCCCCATTTTTGTTTTTCTGCGGAAGTTGGAATTTTGTCTAGTTCAAGTGGTTTATCTTTCAACTGAGTTGTACCATTTGGCTGGTCTATGAGCTGTTGGAGAGCAAAAAATTTGTTCAGTGTGCCATGAGGGTTCTCTGATGATGCAGAAGAGCAGATATTGGCGAACATACTGAGTCAAAGATAGAGGTAACAACTGAGGGTCAGGAAAAAAAAAAAAAAGCAAAAGGAATAAAGCAATCACTCCCCCAAAATTAACTAATGAAACATTTGCTGATTCCCTGAACGGATATATAATGTGTGCCAAAGTTTAGATAAAAACTCTACCTTAGGCATTTAACTATCGTTGTTGCTGCAGATGCTTCTTTTTGGGCTTCTACGATAACCAGAGAGGCTAGATGTTTCCTTCTAAGAATACCCTTGTAAAATGAAAAATAAAGTGGATTAGGGGAAAATTAGGTTTATATGATTGCCAAAAATCATGTTAATATGCAAACACGAGTCTTCATCTTGCATTACAACGAAGTCAAATATGTTTGTTACAGGGTTGTGCGATAATATTTGAGAAAACAAAAGTAAATTTAATGCACCTTTCCGGGCCTCATAAGCTTGGCTGGCAAAGACGACCATGGAATTGCCTCAGTGCTATTGCTTTTATCTTTACCACGAGACAACAAATTTGTGTTCAAATTTTCCTGTTTGGTAGAACTTTGTTTGACAGAAATGCGCTTATTAGGTGCTATGACAGTCTCCCGGATGTTAGATTGAGCGACGTCCTGCTTAGGTGAAAGTGCTTCAAGTCGAGTATCAGTTGGTGTCATTGGTTGCACCTGTGATGCTAAGACCGATCATTGTCACCGCATTATTTTCTTTATTAGCAAAAAAATATAATATCAGCATTAAACTTGATTTTTTTCCCTTAATTTAAAATTCATAATATATTCCATTATTATTATTATTATTATTATTATTATGTTTTCTATTAGATTAGATTCTGGCAATGAAATTGAATCATTTTCAACTAAATTGCAGAAGAAGCTTATGAAATTACCCTTTCAGCCCCTATCTTCATGTTTGCCATACATAAATGGTGACACTTCAAAACTTCTTCTGATGAATATTCTTCTATGTGGTAATATACAGTATTACATTCTTATTAGATATATAAATAAATAAATAAATTAAAACTTGAAAAGATTGCGTCTAACAAGTTAATTGAAATTCTTTACAAATTTCATTTGAGGTCAATCAGATTTGTTTCTATATAGCTCTCCGTTTCTATTCCTAACTACAGTTTAGTTACATAGAACAGGTTAAATTCTACAACTATACATTCTTGAGCCTTTAGGAATTGGAATGCAGAGGAAGAATCATACCTGACCTTTGATCTCTAGTTGCTTTCCTTTCGTATATCCCATCTTTTTACCATCTACACCATTTTCTAAATCATTTCCTTTGATTCCTATATTAGTATCTGGCCCGTTCATTCTTGAGTTTGAATTTAGAACACCTTGCATGTACCTGGATGCAACACCAACTTTTTCCTCTTTAATAACAATCTTGTGCCTTGAGCTTGGATTCTCTTTGGCTTCTATTAAATTCATGGACTTTGCATGATTATGAGGGTGCTGTGATTGATCTAACATGTGCATCAAATCCTTAGGATTGCCTTCAAAAGGGTGGCGTCCAGGGAGTGGTCTAACCCCAATGAGAATAGGGACAGGTGTACCTGACTCGATTCTATCCACATAAAAGAATTGGCCAAGCTGCAGCTTATTATTCAGGATGAGCTCGTTGTCTTCCTTTGAGAGTGAGACATAGGTTGAATGAGAAGAGTCGGAGACTTTAATGAAGAAACCTTGGTTAGGCCATAATTCAGACCCAGATAATGCGGGTACGATGCTGATCACCTGCAGAAGGACTGAGCGATATTCCCCGCGAACTTTCACATTAGAGTTCATACTTTGGAGAAGCTTCAGTAGAACTCCTGGTACGAGGGATGCCATTCTTCTTCCGAAACAGAATGCCTTGGCCCTTGATTGCAGGGATCAGTGCTTAACCGAGAGAACGTCTACATTAAGCTTTGCATGCCGGGCATGTAACCATCAAAATTCTCTTGGCTTCAAAGCCAAGGGACCATCATATACTTACCCCACACTTTCTGTGAGACACCAAATGACAAATCAACCCCATTTATGCTTGTGGGGCTCAATTTGGTCACTTTTCATTTTTAAGTTAGAGGCGATGTAAACATTAAGAAAGGTAAGGATATTCCCATGTCAATTTCTTGGGTGGCGTCACCAGAAGCCCTTTTCATATTTACCACTATATTTGCACGGGCCACACAAGAAAACGAACTGAATTAAGAATTCTGCAATCCTACTAAAAACAAGTTTAGTCATACATTCTTTTACCATAACGAAGTCCTGCCATATCGCATTATTGCCAAAAAAATTTGTCCTACAAAATATATGTAGATAACTGTCTTAAACTTTACCGTGTAAATGTACACATAAAGTGGAATTCAGCTCATCTAACGTGGTATTTGGTTAGAGGGGGAGAGAAATTTTTAAAACCTTTATTGTGTAATTCAATTTTAAGGAAGGAAAGGAAGCCAGATAAAATCCTTCCCTCTTCCAATATCAGTGAAATTTAGAGGAGAAAGGAAGAGATATTAAAATATTTTCAATATAATATCTAAAATATTCTTATTTATATTACTAAAATTATAATTACAAATATATGAAAGTAAATTATTTTTTAAAATTCTTTCTCTCCCTTTTTCTTGCAGGATTTTCAACAACAAAAAATCCAATTTGTTCCAAAAGCATATGATATAATCATCTGCATCTCACATTCTATGATTAGTCAACATATTGAGGAATATCTAGAAAGAATTTTAGATAATTGTTTTGATTTTGTCTTTGTTTATTCTGTTTGAAGAAAGGAAGGATTTTTGTAACGACCCGGCTAGTCACTACACACGGCACGACACACTAGAAACACCACACAAAAAGTAATAAGTGTATACATATAGGGTCTAGAATATATACATATTCATGATCCAAGTCTGAATAGAGTTAAAGTGTACAAAGTACATCAAACGCTACTACACCCAGTAGCTAAAACAACAAAAAACATCTAAAAAGATTCAGCTCCGTCTGCCAGCTACAGACCTACCGCCAGCCACCAACCTATCCCTGCATTGCTCCCATACATAGTATGATCATCACAGTCCAAACATTATGGAGACAACAAAAGGGTAAGCTAGTGAAAAGAAATCAACATACATATAACAATATAATAACAAACAGCTATAGTTTATACTATATCACAGCTTTCAACAATTTTCAGCACCGCGAAGCAGCATTATCAGCACTGCGTAGCAGCAATAACAGCACCACATTAGTGGCTATAACAGCACCGTGTTAGGATTTTAAATAGGCAAGCGCACCCAAGTCTCTGTAGTATGAATAAAAGGTTGTCGAACCTCAGGGACTTGTGAGATAACTTAGATTTCTATTATATTAATTGATGCTTATAAATTTAAAACTGGAATAGTTACACATATTCAAATTTGATATAGATGATTTTCCAACTTCAAGAAACCACAGAGTAATTTGATTTAAAGAAAAACAGATATAAGAAACAGTCGGGATTTGATTTCATCAATCTCCCTCCTATGTATTCCTATTGATTCTTTCTAAAGATTCCATTACTCATTGTCATTGAGTTCCCTAAATTCATTCAAACCCAATTCCTTGGCATAAGAAATTCTAAGATATTTAACTCAATGAATGATTCCTCACTTCATTCAGTTAAACATCCCGCATTAAGAATCAGAACTTGATACAACTATTAATTTCAAGACCATTCCTGGCTCTCAAAACTAATAGGTGATTCGTTCCAAGTCTGGGTTCAGAAAACGTCTTCCAACCAAATCCCAAACCCAAAATCAGAGATAAGTGATCAGTTTATCAAAGAGATCAGAGATAAGTGATCAGATTATCAAAGCATTAAGAACAGGACAGAATCACTAACATAAAGTAATGGATGATATATATATATATATGAATCAAAGAGAATACATAGGAGTTTGATGATTACATCTATCCCAACCCTAGAGATTAGCTCTCCATATTACAAGAAATCACCAAATTACAAGTTGAGAGGTAGAAGAAGAAGATCCTTTGAAGATTCGCGTTCCCACAAGCTCCAGAGTACTCTATTTTTCTCCTCTCTCTGTTTTCTCTCCTTTCGTACGGCTTAATCCCCTTTTCTCTCTCTTTCTTTTCTTATATATGAAAACAGAGTAACTAAGAGAGAGATGAATCCGCTCAGCGCCTTGAAACGGCTGAGCGGATTGGGAGTTCTTCACCATGAAGAAACCTCAATGGCTGAGCGCCTTAGATCCGCTGAGCGCTTTAGAGGCAGAGAGCACCCCTTGTTCCTGGATGAAATCCGCTGAGCGGATGGGAATGGCTGAGCGAATTGGAGGCAGAGAGCATTCCTTCTCCTCTAGGGGCCAATCCGCTGGGAGCTTCAGAATGGCTGAGCGCCTTCAGTTTGGAAAGTTCTCTAACTTGAATCTGCTGAACGCTTCAGAATGGCTGAGCCATTCTTCTCCAGGTTTCAAAACCTACAAAATAAACACCAAATTGGATCAAAGGCTTCCTATTCCCTGTACTAACATTAATCAAAAGCACATCTTTGATTCTCAGCATATATAGATCAAAATAATATCAATATGTACACAAAATGTGCTAGATAAGTGTCCCAAGCGAGTATTAAATCAAACTAATTAGACACTTATCACACCGCAAAGCGGCAATAATAACACTGACATAGCGGCTAGTACAGCACCACCATAGTGGCCACACACACAGCATACAACTCAGCTAACACAACTCAGCCAGACAACTTACAGCACATCACAACAATTCAGCATACAACACAGCAATATACGTTTAATACAGCTAAGTTCAACATATAATAACATTAATCAACAATTTCAGCAAAATTTAACAACCATCAGCATGTGATTCAACATCATCATACGCGCCCGGCGCACTCGTGGTCGCGCCCAGCGCGGCTCAACCAGAGAGCACCAGGGGCCATCGCGCCCAGCGCAAGTGATAGACCATGGGCCAAGGGCCCAGTCACTAGAGCTATGGCTAGAAGAATCCAAGAAGAGTTGGACCTTGTGAAGACTAGTGGACTTGTCAAACCCAAGGTATTCTTCACTTGGAATGCTCTATCATGAAGAGAAGGCTTAGTTCTACTTGTTTATATTGTACAGTTTATACATAGTCTCTTGTATAGGTTATTTTTGCCTTTGTATTTGTGAGACACTTTACTTACTTTTTCTAGTGTTTGCATATTGATTTTAAGGTAGGTTACTTGGAGAGTTTAACTCCATTTAACCTCTCTAATTGATACAATCATTTTGTATTTTTTCAGTAGGGAAAAAGGGGTGGCATTTAGCAAAGCTAGGGAGTGTGTTTAGAAATTGGGCCTGAGTTGGGCCTAGGCAAAATTTTGCATATTAGACTCATTTTGCTCCTAATTTTTCATAGATTTTATTTAGCTAGGTCTCATCATCATATGATGAACCTAACTAAACCAAATCAAGAATTTTCAAATTAAATCATGGAGCAATTTGGAACCAAGGCTGCCTAGCTCATCTTCTTCCTCCTTGGCCGAATTTCTAAGCTACACCTCTAGGTTTTTGAAGCTTGCCTTGCAAGCTTCTAAACCTTAGTAGGTTAAGCTTACCTTACCATGGTTCTTAAGTGAACCATGGTCAAGGTTAGCTTCTCCTACAAGCTTGCTAAACCGTGGGAAGTTAAGCTTACCTTACCATGGTTCCTAGTGAACCATGGTTAAGGTTAGTTTCTCCTAGAAGCTACCTCTCCCTATATATTTGTAATTACCTCTCATGTACTCACTTTTGAACATTTTGAGAATAGAAATCATATTTTCTCTCTCACTCAAGAGTCTCCAAAACTGTAGGAAATTTCTCTCTTAGGTTTATCACCAAAGGTTTTCAACCTTAACCTTGGTTCCTCAAGCTTCTACACAAAGCTAGGAGTAACCGAATCACCTTGAAGGCTTCTCCTCCATGGAAGACTTCTTCGTGGAGTTTCAAAGCTTCTTCTAAGGTCACCTCAAGAGTTCATGGTCCTAAGCATGGAATTGTTGAAGAACTTCAATCCTCTTCAACCTAGTTCCATCAGCAAGAGTACTTGCGCCCGACGTGACCCAACCAGAGAACTCAAGGTTCTCACGCGCCTAGCGCAATTCAGATTGCGCCCAGCGCCGGCCCAGGCAGAGACTCCAGGAAACTTCACGCGCCCAGCATGGCCTAACCCGCGCTCAGCATGGGGAAGGCAGAGACCTACTAAGGCCTCGTGCCCGGCGCAATTTGAATTGCGCCCAGCGCCCTCTTGGCAGAGACTCCCAAGGAGCCTCCGCGCCCAGCGAGTCCAAACGCGCGCCTAGCGCGGCACCAGGACACCCAAAACAGGTCACCATTGATATCGCGCCCGGCGCAGCTCAAGTCCCGCTCGGCGTGGGCCAACCAGAGGCTCCCATTCTCAAGCTCGCCCGGCGCACACACCTTTGCGCCCGGTGGGCTTACCTAAACAGAGCCTCCTGGTGGTCACGCGCCCGGCGCGAAGAACAGCGCCCAGCGCGAAGCTCAGCAGCAACTTTCCCAAGTTCGAAAAATTGCCCAAAACCCGTAAACCTTAACAGAAAATCCACATGCAAACGGTTCAAAGTACCACATTTTCATCAAACATCAACAAAAACGCCTCATTTTCAACATGCAAACACAAATCATCAAAAATCCCAAAATTTCTTCAAAACTCTAAAAACCCCAAAACCCCATTTTTCAACAATCTCAGCTCAAAAGCCATTAATCATCAAACAACCAATGAGTTTCTGAACTCATTCACGGCCAAACACAGCGAGACTCTAGCTTCCCTTACCTCGTTGAAGAAATCCGAGCTCCGAAAAGAAGAAACGGAAAAGAAGAAAAAGCTCCACGAAGAAGAAGGAAACTTGCGCCTCAGCTAGCTCTCAACACTAAGAATCAACACCTTGAATCCACACCAAAGAAAAAAAGTCAGCCAAGAGAAGATT